TGGATAAAAACTATCCTATGTCCTTTCCCAGGACTCAAAATATCTCTATGACAAATTTCATTAAAATCGGTTCAGTGGTTTAGGCGTGAAAGCTAGACAGACAGATAGAGTAACTTTCGCATTTATAATATTAGTATTATAGATGTAGTAAATGAGACTGCTCAGTCCACAATAAGGGCGCGCGGGCACTTAGATGATAATGATATCATCTAGCGCCGCACGTTCGCGTATAAAGGTCTAGAAAGCCAGGCGTTTGAAAGGAATCGTAAAGGCTGCAACTGGCTCCATTAAAAGCAACGATGGTGTTAGGCTCAGTCCACAAGGGTGTGTGCTAAAAATAGTTTTCTAATACCCGTTTTTACCTTCGAATCCCAATTTTTAAGTGCCCCATATGAAAACAAAATCCCTGTTATGTGTTACCATAGGGGTCACTTACAAATTAGGGATTGATGGTGAAAACGAACATAGACTTACAATGGTTTTGCTTTGTTCATTTGTGTAAAAGCAAGTACCATCTATTGTTATTGCTAAAGTTATATTATTACGTAGAATATTTTTTAATAAACAAGTATGTATGCTTGAATCTGCCTAACTTTAAGGCTCTACATAATCTAATTGAATTGAAGAATTTGCTAACAATAGTAACTATTTACTTAGCATTAGCCTATTTTATAGTTCCAAAAGTTCCAAAGCAGTGGTAGAATTAATTATGAGTGTATAACAAGTTAATTTCAATTTTGATGATTCCTTAATTCCTTGAAGCGAGGAAACGTTTTTACATTTCACATAAGTACAATTACATTTGCCACCCCAAAGCATCGCACCGTGGCGTTCAGGGGATCTTTCAGATTTGCTGCCACACGGTGTTGGAACGACCTGCCACCTCCTTTGCGCAACCTGCAAACAAAACACACTTTTAGATCACATGTCAAGAAATACTTGCTCACGTCACAGAGGGCAGATGGCATTGTATCGCATACCTATATGTCGTCGTCGCGCTTGCAGGGGTTGACGGGTCGATCCCGCCGTAATTAACAGTCAGATGGCTTATGGGACAGCTTCAGCATGGTCGCTTTATCTCTCTCGGCCGAAGTCTGGGCGCGCCCTGTGGAGTATGATCACAGTGATGGTTGATCTTTGTTGTGCGATACATGTTACACGTGCTTTACTGGCACAAATTACTTTGGACTCACCAGGGGACTTTGCGCGTCGTGCTCGCCGTAGTTGCTCGCTCCTCTTACTCCATATAATAGCATCTGCCCTGCAGGACGTGTGTCACATTTTGCACCTCACACCTTTCCGGTTTCCGCCGGGTTTTGTTTTGTTGTTTTGAGACGCTTCGCACAGTAAAAATTTTCGCATCAACAATAAAGCACGTATTTCATAACAAATCAGAAAAACACAGCGTCCAGCGTCCTTTCCAATTGACTTTTTCTTTTTTTATTGTTCTTTTCTCTTTTTTACGGTCCGAATCAACACAACGACAGGTCAGCGGTCCGAAGCCGCCTCACAGATCATTTAAGTACTAAAGTTATTTTTTTATAGTAGAAACGTTATACCGTTTTTTAATAATTATACCGTTAACTGATTGTGTTCTGGTCTCGTTATTTTGTTTAGTGTGGGTACTTGGAACAATTGTGGAGTTTATTTCTAATATTTTGTAAATGTCATATTTTAGGTCTACCTTTTTTTATATCTTATTTTGTATTTATGTAAATAAATTGATATTTTAAGCTAGAATTATTTCAACACCCTGAACTGATTGAACCTGTACCTAAAAATGAGACGCACCTTCAAGTAATTTATGACGGTGACGTGGGATTAGTGGGGCACTGGAGTTGTATTTATTACATTAATGGAATACTGCGTGTGTACGATAGTCTTGTTGGTGTTCTAGGAAAATCGCAAAAAATATATGTAAAAGCCTTGTTTCCGTATCTATCGGAGTCATGTATTCAGTTTCCAAGTGTTCAGCGACAACCGAATACTATTGATTGTGGTTTGTTTGCCATTGCTTTTGCCACCTCTTTAGCTCGGAATATTTATAAATACATATATAAAATTAATATTCATACATAAAAGTACAAGGCAAAATATCGGGAAAGTTTAGGCTCCATTCACCAGGTGTATAAATTGACATAATAAGTTTATTATATTTGCTGCTACGGAACCCTTTGTGCGCGAGCCCGACTCGCACTTGGCCGGTTTTTATTTTAACTGCAGCGCCCTCTGTTGCGCGCCTTTTTGCCAGGAAGTCTTACGAATCGACACGAATTTTATAATATTTTATATTGATAAACCGTCACTGTCAAAAGGGCGCTTAATTGGCGTAATAACCCCCATGTTGGTACCCGCTGAAAACCAGCTTCGTGACTTGACGACTTGTGTGTGTCATGTCACGATTTTCGCTGAGCGGGCGCCCTTTCAGCATGGCTCAGTAATATTTAACCCCTGTACATGTATGCACATAAATGTTAATGCTGAATAAAGGTATTCTATTCTATTCTATTCTATTCTATTCTATTCTATCATGAATTCAAACAAGCGACATCGAAGAGTATTTCAGAATACGTAGGTGTTCCGTTAATTAATGGCGTATTCGTCGAAAAACGCTATTTTTGGACGCCAATTAATATAAAAGTACTTTGACATTTCAGTTTTCATCTTTACATTATATTAATTTCATTAATGATGGTATATTAATCGTATTCAGCTATTTTTGGACACTGAACCAATTAATTTGGAGTGCTTTTTACATTTAAATTTTCATCTCTATATTATTCATTTCACGAACCGTATTTTCCTACGAGGCAAAAGTTTCATATTTAACTTTGCCATGGGAGAGGCGGAAATGAACCGCTTTTACAGTACGCAATGAACAACTCCGTGTTATTTAAAAGCACGGTTAATTAATGTGTGCTAAAAGTACATATCTGTGAGCCTTTGAGCAGCTGGAAAGTTAGTAATTAAGTAATGTTAGTCTGCGAGTAAGTACAGTTTAATTATTAATGAAAAAGTCCAGGGAAAACTAATGGGTAATATAGTATTTAGTAATTATTAATGTTACAGTCATAATTCATAATCGGTCAGAAACACTTTTGACTGCAAAAATCTGTTGTGACTGATGCCCATGGTCAATATCACTTTTGACTGATTTTTCCAGTCACTACTTCTATGTAGGTACTACGAGATCTTTTATACGAGTATAATAATATGCTGAAGTAAAGAAGTCTAGTGTTGCTTCATGACTAGCGCTACACTTTTGAAGTCGAATGTCTTAAAAGAGAGAAAATATTCTTACGTCTCGCTTTATCAAGTAAAAACTGTTGTAACGATGTTAATGAAAAGAATAAGTACCTAGGTAGTGTAGGTACATTGACTGTCCTGCTCCTTTCATAGCACGGGGCAGTTGAGGGAAAAGCAACACAGTACGCCAGTAATTTCGAAGAGCTTTCTACATTCTTCAATGTAAAATAGTTAACACTCTTCCTACACCACCTCAAATTGCTTTCTTTTTTGCATAGATATACTTAGGTACAATGTTCCATTTCTGCATATTAATCAATCCGAAAAAAGTAGATCCAATGCGACATTACTCACACTGACTCAATTTGAATTTGCGTCACACAACACAATGGTAAACCAAATCTTATCTCGTGATATTTTTAAAGAATTAGAATTTAATTCGCATATTTTGATTCATTAATTTATTGGAATATTATGCAAAAATGTGTACACCTATTTGCGTGATTTTCCCTTGAAAGCGGTGTGCCACGATGCCGTGTTCATAATATTTTGCATCTTACCACTCAGCGTTCATGAGTGCTAATTGACAGATTAACTAAATTGATTCAATTTTATGCTTTGAGTTTACTTTTTGTATATTCGCGTGAAGTGAAGCATTCATCTGAGCGGGCCCTTACGCCCTAGAGCGGCCACGACGTCACGAGCAAATTGCCGCAGTCATTACCGAGGCATTTCCGCTTCTACGCCGAATGGCCGCCGAGTGCGAAGTGCAGCGGAATGATGGGAGCTATCTTGTTAATGGCTCTATCGAAATGAGAGGTTTTAAAATAAGTCCAAGTTCCAGCTAGCGACTGGAATTCGCTGCCTGCTGCTGCCTTTCCCGAACACTATACTCCGGGCCTTTTCAAGGCGAGAGTGAATAAGCACTTACAGGGCAGATAGGTACCGTCTTAGACTGCATTGTGGATTCTTAAAGTATATAAGTTTAATAGATAGAGCCCCGCACTTTTAAACGCACAAATCGTTAAGCTGTCTGTACGAAATTAGCCGGCTGTTGTGAATAGCCTGTACGTGTACACGTAGGGCCAGTCACGAACGTATCAAACCGGGACACTGAGGATAGGTTGTTACTTATAAACGAGTTCACTGGACATTCAACCTAATCCCTGTCACTTTAAGGTCTTCCCTGAACACCTAAATTGCTAGAGGCTTATTCTGGAAAACGTTTGGGATCAATTTGTCTCTCTCACTGTCATGAAGAGTAACAGAGATGGTTGTAGTGGGTACATATATCGATATTGCTGGAGTAGACCCTCAGGCCAGTCACGAACACGAGGATGGGTGGTTAGTCCAGTCATTTCGTCCGAAAAAAAGGCAAATAAAAGAAAATGAATTTGCGCTTCTAATTTTTTAATATGTTGTAGGGGATACCTAGAAAAGCTTAACTTGAGATTGTCGACCAAGCTTTCCTAGGAGCTTTCGCCGCCATGTTGAAAAAAGGGGTAAAATTTGTTTTTCGGCAATAACTCGGCTATCCGATGAGACTCGAAAATTTTTGTAGGACACTTTTTGTAGCTTTCTTTGTGCTCTACAATAACGCCCGAACCATTTTTAGCGTATCATGCATCGTTATCGAGATATCGATCGATAAAGTCAAAAATTTTGGACACAATTTTTGTTTTTTTCTTTTTTTTTCTTTGGGTCTTAATAAATATGAAAAATTCCGAAATAATTAAATAATTAATTAAAAAGTAAAAAGTAAAATTTAATTACTTTTAATTACTTTTTAATTACTTTTTTTTAAGTAACGGCAAAGCATTTGTATTAGTTGGTTCTTGTTTTGATCCCTTGTGAGAAACTTCTCCTGGCTAACTTTTGGAGTAGTTGTCTCATCGAATGTGAACTCCGGCGATTGGTTTTTTCTCGAACGTCGTACTCTTTCCGAAGTTTTCGTTCCAGCGAGTGTCATATCAGTCGGATAACCGTCGAATATGATTGCAACCTTTCCTTCGAAGTTATGTTGTACGTATCTGACGTTAATTATTTAATTATTCCGAAATAATTTGTGTCCAAAATTTTTGACTTTATCGATCGATATCTCGATAACGATGCATGATACGCTAAAAATGGTTCGGGCGTTATTGTAGAGCACAAAGAAAGCTACAAAAAGTGTCCTACAAAAATTTTCGAGTCTCATCGGATAGCCGAGTTATTGCCGAAAAACAAATTTTACCCTTTTTTTCAACATGGCGGCGAAAGCTCCTAGGAAAGCTTGGTCGACAATCTCAAGTTAAGCTTTTCTAGGTATCCCCTACAACATATTAAAAAATTAGAAGCGCAAATTCATTTTCTTTTTTGAATGTACGTAATGACTGGACTAGGTTGCCGGTCGTTAGATTGGAATGTCCGCGATTGGACACGCGGCCGCGGTGTATCGTCATTTCATTCGTCACCTGCTTTTGTTAGAACATATAATCAGCCATTAGCTAATGCTATTATCTCACTGGTGATGCTATACTAGTCTAGTATTTTGCGCTTAGATGATTTAATTTTTTATAGGTATTTGAAAACAATCACACCTTAACCCTTCAAGCGTCACAATACTTTCTAATTCAAACCCTGTAAATGGAGCTTAGGGTGGTACAATATAAATGAGCGCCTATTACCCCAAAGTAGGTAGGTAAATAAACAATTTTATTCATGGTCAAATCCAACCGAATAATTTTTGATTGACTTGATGTCGCTTATTCATGGATATGGGTCTCCGAATTCCGAATTTTTCATCGATGACAGCAACTTTGAATAATTCATGTAGCTTGACCCAAGGCCATGCTTGCCAAGTATACTAGTATCATCGTTCCGCAGTTATGTATGTGACCTATATTATGCTGTAGCGTGTATCTCGCCAAGAATTAAGAAGTCTCTATGGTAGTTCAGTTCTCGCTACCGCCTTTTATTTAGGTAGCCTATCTTCTAATTTATTGGAATTGCTTGTTTTAATTTGATATGCTTTTTGACGATGAACTCGCTTTACTATAGATGTGTATTGTGAAATTGTGATTTATTATGTAGCGAGCTTGCCCTGAAAAATATGTTCAGTATAATATTAACATGAAAGCTTGTAGATGGCGCACAAAAACTTGATAACTACGTTTTTGATTGTATTTTTATCACTTGTAGCCTAGACTTTGGCCGCTGGAATGTCCTTCAAGGCACCATGTTCGATTTATGTTTTAAAACACGGATAATAATTTTCTTTAGCAGCTTTTACAAGACGACTCGTTTCGCAACATGTGCGGTGCATTTTTCACCTGCTACAACCGCACCACTGGGCACACGGCTGGGGTTACCATCCTTCCGGATATCTCCAGACAAGTCCGGATTTTCGCTTAATTTAATTCCGGACAGAAACAAAATCTCGCAACTTCGTAACTCAGAACACAAAGGCTACGTTAGTGTGACGTATTGTCTGATTTTTTCAGTATTGGCCAGTTATTTTGCAGGGATTTTCTATAATGTATAATGTCACCCTACCCAAGGCAGCTGCGATCTTGGATGCAAATGCTGCACCGCATTAGCATAGCGTTGCATGTTATGAGTACTTATGAGTCCGGCATAGATATTGTAATCGCGATTATTTAAGCATACATGCAATCACTAACTGTTATGTGAACGGTTTGCATATTAAAGATGCGAATGAATTTTGGATGATGGCCATTATGAGTGCTGATTTGTGAGTTAAAACAGGGTAGTGTAATCGCTGACCGTGCTTGAACCTAAAGACTTTAAACGGTAGCGATGCAAGAGTAGTACAGAAGCCACTGCCCAATGTTTTTACATAATTATGTTTATGATAACATTATTTTCTATTTAATGCTAAATTAAATGTATCTACTTCAGGTTTTATCTGACTAAATGAGTTATCTAGGTACCGTAAGGTGAATGGCTCTTTGCCTCTACTATAGAACAGCACACAGCTCAATGTGCTCTTTTAAGTAGAAAATTATAATTATTAAATGTTATACAGTTTACTTATAGGATGTCTCTTTGGAATCGAACTCAAAGCTTCTTGAAAGGGTCATAACTCCACAACCATTGGACCATGGATGTATAAACTTAGGTGTTAGCATGTTAATCAAGCGTAATGCATCCATATCAGAATTACCGGCTTATTTTAAACTCACTCCACGTTCATTAACCTAAGTGGTTTGTAATTTTTATAAGACACGAAAACAGCGTTTATTATTCGGAGGCTAAGTAACCCATTTGCGTAATGAGACAGAATGACTAAATTAATTACAACTAATGACCCACGCTAAATTAAAGTGGATTTCACACGTTTTTTGGGACGCCTCATAGGTACATAGCTTAATCCGATTTAGTAGACTTTTTTTTAAATCTAGGCAAAATACACATTCTGTCTGTGGAGTTTCTATCCAAGTGATCCAACGTCAGTTCATAGATACAACGTTAATGAGAAACTTATTTGTTTTGTCTTTCATGAGTGGCCATGACAGTGATTTACAAATAGCTACCTAATTAAAGGGTAGGTACTTAGTGTTTGAGGAACCTGGAAATGATTTGGATTGAATCCAACATCGTATTTGTTCTGCCTACAGTGTAAACAAAATCTTCAAGATGGTCGTTTAGTAATTTATTTATGGAATTTCGTAAGTGAAACTAAATATTTATGTGCTTTGGAAAGTACATAAGCAAAAGTTAAAACACTCTGCAGGACTTATTGAAAAGTGATGCAAAAAAAGTACCTAACGCATGCATTAGTAATTCCCCATCTAATTTTGGCTTTAAACATCATAAACTTGGCCCAAACAAAAAATATGCATCATTAGCTCCTGGCCACAGATTGCGTCAAGTTTCTGCAGGTCTACCTCGCAAAACGATTTCTATACACTCTCATTCCTTATTCTGTCTCTTTCACTCACATGAAGATGATAAGGGTAGGTAGAGTCGACTTATCGACATCGATTTGCAGGATAGAGCCCCTAAACGCGGGCCATCTATCAAGCAACGCCTGGCCAGTGATTGTGCCATTTAATTCGCATTATGTTAATAAGTAAAAACATAAAAATTATCCGCAAAACGTTGAAAACATCTGCGCAAAAAAGTGAAACAGACAAAATTGCCCGCTATTACTGTAATTGAGGACTTAAAAATGTTTCACTTTGAGCATAATGAGTCTGACAGTTGCAATTCATGGTCATGGTCCAATGACAAAATACCTATAAATAAGTAAATCATGTAATTCCTAAGTTTGGATTTTATGCGCAATCAGCAGAAATTATTGCCCGCATTAATTTTATTTGCTGGCAAATATGCGATTCACGAAGCGTGATTTAAAGCTTACTTCACGCTGACGAAAATTAATGAAGGAACTTTTATATTATCGCAGAGCAATTTTTGGGATACAAAATCCTTACATTAGTCGCTTTTGTGCGAAGAAATATTTCTATGGTAAAAAACGAGTAACGACCCAGCCGTTTTAGAAAATGACTTGCATTTAGTTCGTTTTTAAGACATCCGCGTTTGGAAAGTATCAGAAAAAAAATATTCATGAACTTTTTCGAATCTTTTCAGACCCTCAAACTTGCCAGCCAAATGCACCGAAGAAGCGTTACGGCATAAGGCCGAGCACGCACGGATGGTGGAAGCGGCGAGAAGACGGGTGGAGCGCGAGGCGGCAGCGAGACACGCACGAGTGTTGGAGTCACACCGCATGGAGGAGAGGCTGGCCAGGCATGCACGCGAGTGGACGCAGAACATACTGCCGGACTGGCAGAACATGTAAGTAAATACATCTGAATGGTTACACTAAAGGCGCGAAGACGAATGGAGCGCGAGACACGCACGAGTGTTGGAGTCACACCGCATGGAGGAGAGGCTGGCCAGGCATGCACGCGAGTGGACGCAGAACATACTGCCGGACTGGCAGAACATGTAAGTAAATACATCTGAATGGTTACACTAAAGGCGCGAAGACGAATGGAGCGCGAGACACGCACGAGTGTTGGAGTCACACCGCATGGAGGAGAGGCTGGCCAGGCATGCACGCGAGTGGACGCAGAACATACTGCCGGACTGGCAGAACATGTAAGTAAATACATCTGAATGGTTACACTAAAGGCGCGAAGACGAATGGAGCGCGAGACACGCACGAGTGTTGGAGTCACACCGCATGGAGGAGAGGCTGGCCAGGCATGCACGCGAGTGGACGCAGAACATACTGCCGGACTGGCAGAACATGTAAGTAAATACATCTGAATGGTTACACTAAAGGCGCGAAGACGAATGGAGCGCGAGACACGCACGAGTGTTGGAGTCACACCGCATGGAGGAGAGGCTGGCCAGGCATGCACGCGAGTGGACGCAGAACATACTGCCGGACTGGCAGAACATGTAAGTAAATACATCTGAATGGTTACACTAAAGGCGCGAAGACGAATGGAGCGCGAGACACGCACGAGTGTTGGAGTCACATCGCATGGAGGAGAGGCTGGCCAGGCATGCGCGGGAATGGACGCAAAACATACTGCCGGACTGGCAGAACATGTAAGTAAATACATCTGAATGGGTAACACTAAAGGGGCGAAAACGTGTGGAACGCGAGGCGGCCGCGAGACACGCACGAGTGCTGGAGTCACATCGCATGGAGGAGAGGCTGGCCAGGCATGCGCGGGAATGGACGCAGAACATACTGCCGGACTGGCAGAACATGTAAGTAAATACATCTGAATGGTTACACTAAAAGGTGTGAAGACGAGTGGAGCGCGAAGCGGCGGCGAGACACGCGCGAGTGTTGGAGTCACATCGGATAGAGGAGAGGCTGGCCAGGCAGAACATATTGCCGGACTGGCAGAACATGTAAGTGCTTAAATACTTGAATTGGTTGAATGGGAGAGAAGCTCGTGTGCTTAGTTATCATCTCACGGAAGAAAGTCTTGCAAGGCAAGAGTGGGAGGGAGCGGAGACTATTTGGCAAAAATATTACTCAAAAATAGAATGTCTAATATGTAAACATTATAAAGAAGATAAGTGCTTGAGTCACATCGCATACCTAGATTAGTCTTGCGATGCGAAGCAAGCGCGGGAATGACTAACAAGTAAGTATCGTCCAGTCAGACTGGATGGACGCATGATGCAGTCTCTCATAAATAGTAGGTAAATTAATTGAGTTATATTGACAATGACTAAAGCCGAGCTTCTTTGGACCACAAACTCCTGTTTTGCGCATTTATTCATTTGTCTCCGCTGTCGCGATTTTTTCGGATTGTGTCTTTGCTGCCAAACTCATTAAAAATAGTATTTCATCTGTTCTGCGCATGGAATCATTTATAGACACTCCAAAGGTCGAGAGACAGTAGATATTTATTAATAGCTGATAATTATTATCAGAGACGTGCAAAGGTCAAGCGGAGACCATTCTGCGACGTCGCCGTCCATTGAAGCCGAGACAGCGTCATTCACCTCGATGTAGGTCATATTGTTGACCTCATGTCTTTAAAACATAGGTGAAATATCTCCTATGTTCTTAGATATAGGGTTCAACAGACAAGCGTTTGTCAAGTAAATGCGTACGCATTTAGACGTAAACACTAATGACTCCACTTTAGAATTCCTCTCAGTATTGTGTTCACGTGTTGAAGTTTTGCCATTGAAGCGTATGGGACAGTCTTTTGTTATTATGAATTATGAAATCGCCCTTGAATAGCCTACAGTACCTCTAGCATGAACATTTTCGTCTTCGAATCGTTTGCGTATTCGACAAAATTCGATATCAACCTTCGAATTCAACGATAACATGACAATTTTGATTCTCAAATTAAATTTCATGCAACCATTTCTCATACTAAGTTCACTTTACGACACGTGCCTTAAGTATGAAAACTACAACAGCGCCCTTGTGCGCTGTTGTAGTTTTCATACTTNCCCGCGTCGAAGTCTTAGCCTTTTATTTTACTGTTTAGTACCTCAAAAATGAAAAATGAAAACCTCATTTTCGCCATTTTCACTGTTACCCGGCCTTAATCTTTTGATGGCGATTCAAATACGCAAACGATTCGAACTCGAAATTTTTCGTGCTAGCCGTACAGTATGTAAATTTTTTGAAGGCAGATCAAATGCTTGGATATAAAACAAAGAGAGAAAGGCCAGAGACCGAATAATTTAAAAACAATTGAATTCTATTACAATATTTATTAATTTGTTTACGGTAGCATCTTTACGATTTCACTTATACGTTTGGTCATAAAGTAATACGTAATCTAAAAGTTTAGTACTCAATTACGTTATTAAAACAATAATTATAATACAAACAACACTTTCACATACTTAAAGAATTTAAATCGCCTTTTATATTGGAACTAGCTTTCCGCCCGCGGCTTCGCCTGCGTGGAATTTTGTCTGTCACAGAAAAACTATATCGCGCCCGTCTCTGTTTCAAAAACCGGGACAAAAAGTATCCTATGTCCATTCCCAGGACTCAAACTATCTCTATGCCAAATTTCATCAAAATCGGTTCAGTAGTTTAGGCGTGAAAGCAAGACAGACAGACCGACAAACAGTAACTCTGTTTGTCGGTCTGTCTGTCTTGCTTTCGCATTTATAATATTAGTATAGATTAGGTACCCTACAGCCAATAGGGGCGGAACATCAAAGAAAAATGTAACAAAAACGGGAAATATTATTCAAACTATATTCAGACGAAGTCGCGGAAACAGCTAGTCCTTAGAATATTCTTGTTTATGTCCGCAAGTGCTATTTTTCCAAGCGTTTTGTATTTTTCAGTCTAAAAGATAAAGATGCAAGCGAAATTAAAAGCATAAGAGGTTTTTCATTCAGTCCTTTTAGAAATAATAGCTTGCCAGAGCGCTGGCCTTTATGCTCCTTTCTCGGAATTTTTTATAGCTCTTGAGAAGTTTCAATGAAAATTCGCAGTAAAGAAACATTTTATTACGAAGTTATCAGCATAATATGCACGTAAGTAGTATTTTAATTGAATAGACTAAAGAATATTACGATCTTGGGATATAACTATGTAGTAATTGTACTTAATCTATTTATGTATTTACTAGCTTTCCGCCCGCGGCTTCGCCCGCGTGGAATTTTGTCTGTCACAGAAAAACTTTATCGCGCGCGTCCCTGTTTCAAAAACCGGGATAAAAACTATCCTATGTTCTTTCCCGGGACTCAAACTATCTCTATGCCAAATTTCATCAAAATCGGTTGCGAGGTTTAAGCGGGAAAGCGTAACAGACAGACAGACAGACAGAGTTACTTTCGCATTTATAATATTAGTTGGGATGGGATGGTCGCCTGCGCCATAATTTGCCGTCTTCTCGGCTTGTTTTCCAAATCACTAGAGCGCGTCTCTGTCATGCATGTAATAAAAAAATAAGCCAGGCATAGCGAATATGTGCAAATGTATTTCTCTCACATGAGAATTACTTGGCATTCGATAGTTCTGAGAACAATTTGACCAATTGGAGTATGAAAATTAATATTTAACATTTCGTATCTGTAATCTTGCAGTCAGATGCATATTAAGTGTGGTTCTAGAGAAATCGATTGAGATTAATTAGTTTGAAGTTCAATCATTCGATGCATTAGATATAATCTCAGTATTTGATTAATGGAACATTTATATTGAGGCAACAATAGCCCAACAGCTTAGGCATTGGACTCCGATTCAAGAGGACAGTAGATTGATCCCTGATGATAGACTTTTATGGTGAACTCACTTTTAACACAAGCAAATTATTTTGGTTCCTTTGGGTTAAGGAATTTGTACGTTGTTTTTAGTATTTAAACAAAATTCAAAAATTATTCAATTCAAAACGAACCGAATGTTAATGTTGTACTCAACAGTACCACAGTTCTGTTCAGTATCTACCTCTAACAATGACTACAATACATAATAGATTCAGTAGATCAAGGCTTTATTTATCGATAAATTATTTGGAACTTATTATTATCATTATTCTACACTATCTAGAATACCTTGGGGGAGGCCTTTGTCCAGCAGTGGACGTCATTTGGCTGAAACGAACGAACGAACGAACACTATCTATGTAGATGCAATATGCTTTTATTAAAAGGTTAAATTAATGTACAATAACATTATATTGATAGATGTGGCATTTATCACAATATTCAATAGGCTAGTTGCCTAAAAAAATTTTTTTAGTCCGTAATGTTTAATATCAAAAAATATTGGACACGTATATTTTTATTTGTCAATCTAACAAATAATTACATAGTTATGGTGCGTTGAAGTTGCGCACGACGTCACAACTTGCGGCATTTTTAAGCAAGCGTTGACGTCACGGGCCTCTTCTTATGGTGCGTTGAAGTTGCGCACGACGTCACAACTTGCGGCATTTTTAAGCAAGCGTTGACGTCACGGGCCTCTTCTTATGAACTTTGGGGCGCTTTATCTCTTTAAATTTTCATTAGTTTGAAAAAGTGAAAATACGTGTAGAGTATTTTTTGATAAGTTAACTGACGGACTAATTAAAACTCTTGCTTTTTGACCCAGGCAACATCCCCATTATCTTCAATCTGCGTGCGGTTTTTACTAAGCTTGCTAGTTTGTTGATTAACCAACCTCCCTACTGATGTTGTTGGTCAGAATAAGAAACTGCTGCCATTTCTGTAGTAGGCTACAATAGCTTAATTCTAATAAGAATATGTATCTAATAGGTATTTATAAGTTTAAAACCGGATTTAATTGAATTTATTGTTGGAATTGAAACTGCGTTACCGTTAATGTCTTAATTGTATATTATCTAATTAAAATTAATACTAACCTACTTGACTATTTCAATAACAAATAATAACTCATGATAATCAAGATTATACGTTGCCCAACTGGCTATTGTGTATCGCTCCATTGTTCAGCAAATCCACATTTTATACGTGTTCTGTAACTACTATTATGTATGTTTATTAAAGAAATACCCTGGGATTACTAAACCGATTTAAAACCAGTTTATTCTATGAAAAATGTAGTTGGTACTTATACTTAGTTGTTAACTTACTTTAATATAATCTCGCTATCTCCACATTTGACAGGTACAGGGGCAAAACAAGGAATGTCCCTAAAATTCAAAAGTATATTTTTGATGGCTATATTTTCGATTTCCCGCGTATTTTTATTTGAAATTATACAAAAAGCGTAAAAACAAGTAATAGACATACGTATTCCTATTAGTAGTTTATAATTTTAAGTGACACATAAGAATGTTTTAAACTTTAATCAATTTAAATGTTCATTAACATAACTTTTTGTTTTTGTGACAATTCTTGTTTTGCCCCTGTACCCTTCATTTGCATTGTGTCATAAAAAATATGTTTTCATTTACAGGAAGAACGCGAAACGAACTCTAGAGTTATGGTGGAGCGGGCTCCCTCCTTCTATCCGCGGCAAAGTCTGGCAACTGGCCATCGAGAACAAACTGAAGATCACCCACGACATGTACCAAGACTACGTCGCCAAGGCCAAGCAGAAACTCCAAGAGGCACAACTAAGACGCAAACGGTTAAAAGTCAAAAGCCAAGACTGCTGCAGCTGCAAAAAGGAACCAGAAAAACCCAAAACGGACGAGAAAATATCCAAATTCGACGAGCTGCTATCAAAGAACGATCAAATCAGCCCGAGTGAGGAGAAACCTCGATTAAGCATACCGAGGAATTTGAGCGAGCAGAATTTAAAGTCTCATAGTACGGAGGCGGGACCGAAGAAGTGTTGTTCGAAATCGAACCCTAACCTGCTTGATTATAGTGACGAGTGTTCGATGGAGCTGATTCAGCTGGACATAGCGCGGACTTTCCCCCACCTGTGTATTTTCCAACCTGGAGGGCCGTATTTTGATGTGCTGCATGAACTGTTGGCTGCGTATGTGTGCTATAGGCCTGATATCGGATACGTCCAGGTGAGCTTTAGATCCTAGAAAATAATAAATTATTGTCAGTCAATTAAGTTACCTGTACCTGACTAGCGTGGGGCTGTAGCTCTAATCCTCCATTTGCCTCTGGTTAGAGAGGATTGTACTTCTACATTAGAGACCAAATGACGTGTGAGTTTGTAAATACATATATGTAGTATAGTACGGTATGGCATATAGCCTGATACTACCCCTGTACGAGCTTTGTCCATTCCGATTGCTTATGGAAACTCCACACAGCTCGACGGCATTTCCCGGCGTCGTCTGTTTCCTCGCTGCCAGTGGCCTTTTCAAATTGCCTCCAGTTTATGCCGCCGGTCTGTGAGGATCCACCATTACTGATAGTTGTATGGAATGTGTCATGCAGGGCACGTCGTTGATCATGTCTGGTGGTGTCCTATCTTATTGTCTTGTCAGGGCATTTCATGTCGCATCTTTTGTGTAATTTGTACTTGTCTTGTGTGGTGTACACATAAAGTTAATATTCCTTCAGAATAGAGCAACTGCTACGAGCTGACAAACGAAACCGATTTTAGGATGTCATTTGTGTGTCAGTTTTCAGGATTATTTCACTGTTTTGTACATCAATCCCTGAATCAGTCACCACGTTTCTGAAGCACATTTCTCATAAACTACCACGATTTAACTCATGTAAAATAAAAAATAAAAACTCAGAGCTCAAATTTTCAGAGTTTAGCACTCTGATTAATTACTTGCAAAAAACGGTTTTGTTGCATCTCATTACGCATCTCTTTATCACACAGTGTTGCTGCTAAAGCCTGGTCCGTGAGCACGTAGAATTTTGTCCAATGACCCCAAGCTACCCATCCTTATCGCTCGCGCGTAATTATATTGCTGTCGCGGCTGTGCGACGGGCGCCCGCAGTGAGTGCGAGCGCGATAGCAACATAATTACGCGCGAGCAATAAGTATGGGTAGCTTGAGGTCATTGGACAAAATTCTACGTGCTCACGGACCAGGCTTTAGTAACATCTCGCTCGCTCAATCCTTTGTTGCACCATTCCGAAGGAATATTAACTTTATGGTTGTAGTACAATAAACTATCTCTGCAGGGCATGTCGTTCATCGCGGCAGTGCTGATCCTGAACATGGAGGCGCCGGCGGCGTTCGTGTGTTTCGCCAACCTGCTGGACGGGCCCGTGCTACGAGCGGCTTTCGCGCGCGACGGCGGCGCCATGCAGGTACTGAAGAAAATATTTACTGCCAGATTAAATAATACAAGACAAAAAGACTAACCTACTTTACACTAGGCACTGACTGTCTTGTAGAGGAATGTATCTAGACATATTTGTTGCAAAATAACACCCATAACAACTACTTAAGGTGGCACAGTGTTAAGCTTGAGGTAAGAGCGTCTGAATAGAACACAATTTTAATCATGTATTTGCACAGGCTTAAGGGGCCTTAAGGAGCTAGTTCAAGATCGATATTGATCATAATATTATCGTAATGTTTATAATTTTAAGAATGAAAAACTGTATTTTTAAGTTTATGTTCAATTCTCAAAAATACCGATTGTGTCTGTCTGTGCCTACGTCTGTTCATCACAATCTTACGCAATCGCAATAACTTAACTTAAACTTCTAGCATTAGCTAATATAGGTAAGCCCTCGACTTGGTGAACCGACCTTCTAGTGAAGAAAGCGACTTGATACCACCCGCACTGGATTTATTTTGGTTGAAACGACATAAATCGATAAGACTTTATGTTGTGTTTGTTTGTATGTGTTTTAATATCATCGGATCCCTTACAGCGTTGCGAATTCCATTTATCCTATCTAACCAACCAATTCTCATTCCAGCGGCTATGGAAAGCGTACAGCACGCTTCTGGAGCACAATCTACCCTCACTAGCAGGCGTGGTGGCGCCGGAACTGTATCTTGTGGAGTGGCTGTATACAGCCTTCGCTAAGGCCATGCCGCTGGACGCCGCGTGCCGCGTGTGGGACGTCTTCCTACGGGACGGGGACTGCTTCCTGTTCAATGCGGCACTAGGTCAGTACAAACTTTAAGTCACAGCTTGTGAGACGTGGGACACTGTCATACAATCACTGTAAGCGACCACCTACGGCGGCAGTTCTTGTGTATCTGTTACGGTTAAAGTGATAAATCGAAAATCATGAATAATAACCGGTTATTATGAATAATTACCGACAGTCGCGGTAAAAGTGATAAATTAATAACATTTAACAGTGATTATTTAATAATTCAACCTTAGTACTAACAAATATCATAAAAGAGAACAACATCTTGTGTACGTGGCTGTACAAGCCAACATTTTTGAACGTTTTAATATCATATATTAATATAATTTGGCATAATGAGTTTGGAATGTTTCTTGCATAATATTACTTTTCCATGATGCCCATAACATAATGTTTTGATTTAAAGTGAAAAATAGGTTAAGGTGCGGCTAAGCCGCCTATTTAGTTTTATACACACATAAATGACCTCATATTAATCACATTTACCAAATCATGAGGTAATTATTTATAATAACCGGCGATTATTCATAATTTTCACATTTATCACATTGACCGTAACATATCTAAGTTTAGCACCAAAGTAAATGATACTCTTTGGGTGTGGCCGTGAACAGGGGCGTAGTGTGAGTTTACATCGAATTTCGTCACTAGTGAACCCGTAAAAAAGTGACATTAAATGTATGACGAATTGTACAGCGCCCCTAGCGGAAACTATCAAGAACTAAAATTTTCATACGTTTTTTGAATGCGCTCGCTAGTGACGAAATTTGATATTAACTCACACTAAGCCCTCAGAAAAGAGCGATTGCGACAAGCGACCAAGACGAGTGACCGCGACCAGTATTTGACTTTAGGCAATGTACAAGCATCAGTTCACTAGCGAGAGTGAGACAGGCGACAGAGACCAATGTTAAGTACTGGTCGCGGTCTCCCGCCTCGGTCGCTATTCGCGATCATTTGTCCCTGTCACGGCGCCTGTTATGAAGGAAAATGTAGTATTTATGCGCGGAAGAATGACAGAATTCAGTGCTCTTTAATGTCTTTTTGTGAAGAGATACAACACTTTTCTAGTCATGAATAATATCAAAATATAGACGCACGTGAAAATAAACTCCATTCTTCTTCTATACTCACGAGCAAAAGTATGGAATCACCCCGTTGTGTTTGGTTCCAAGTCATCTTAAGAACTGAATGACTATGTATGTATCTATAGTATCAATTTAAAGTATAAAAACCTTTAAAATGGTACCATTTTTATTTACCTTTTATTAGTCATTTAGTTCTTACGATCACTCGGAACAAGTAGGATGATTCCATACTTTTGCTCGCGAGTGTATAAATGATGCTACAAGAATCACCTTCAAAGAGTGCGTTAAAACTATTTGTTACTCATCCCCAACTCTTTCCACAGGCGTCCTTCACCTGTACCAAGACGAGCTCAAAGACATGGACTTCATAGCGGCAGCCCAGTTCCTCACCAAACTCCCCGAAGACCTCGACCCTGAGGCTCTATTCAAGAGCATATCCACAGTGTCTATGACTCTGGATGGGATGACCTTCGAAGAACTGGCCTCATGCTGCGAGGGCCAGAGTTTGGACGATGACGTCACGGTGAGGTTATGATACAGGAGGAGGATCGGGGACCTCTGGGACCTGATTGACGCGCTGTCGTTTAAAGTCGGGTTATAGTAACGGCTGGTATAGAATGCACTTGGTATATACAGAGTAAATACAAATGAGTAGGTTATCTTCATAGAAACGCATGCAGCGCGCACGCACACACTGACAAAATTTTGCGGGGATTACCAGTCGTGGTTGCGCCGAATTTTGTCAGTGTGTGTGTGCGCGCCGCATACGTATTGGCGCACTCACATACAAACCGCGCTCGGTGCGTTTCTATGAAGATAACCTACTCATTCTCATTTGTATTTACTCTGATATACAGGGTGGAATTTTGTAATGCCACCTGAAGGGAAAGTACTCTTAATATTGTAGATAGAATTTTTTTGTCAAAGAAAACATTCCTTTATTTTGGAAAAGAAATAGAACTGCATTCAAAGATTTCCAAAAATTTGCTTGCCACACCCGGGAATCGAACCAAGTAAAATCTGTTAAAAATTACACCCTGTATTTTTATTACATCGATCGTTAGGGTTAAGTATAAGAATAAAATCTCTCTAACAAACTTGATAAATCAAATGAAAGGAAAACCATGAATTCGTAAATTATTTTAATTATGTGCAGAAAATTGTATGGTGAATTTTCGAAAGTCTTTGCATGCAGTTTTTTTTCTTTTCAAAAATAAAGTAATATTTTCTTTCAGTAAAATTTTCTATCTACAGTATTAAGAGTACTTTCCCTCCAGGTGGCATTACAAAATTCCACCATGTATATGGGGATTTGGGAGCTTGACCGATAGCATAGTAAATGGGAACAGGCAGAATAGGCAGTAATAGGGCACGTATGTGCCATCCTAGACTGCATGTCACTAAACCTCAGGGTGTTGCATACTAAATACCTGCAAACAAAATATTTGTGACAGTTTTGATATCGAAATCGCTTCATGGAGCGAAGTAACTATAGATTCCCTTTTACTGTGCGAGTGTTTTTGATATGTCTATGTATTTGATACATAGATAACAAACTGACTACGATTTGGGTAAATGAATCGTTCTTACTTTCAAATTGTAACTTTATCTTACTGGCGATTTAAAATACAGACCAACAGCCATTTAGCTTGTTTACATAAAAGGAGATGGTCCTTAATGTATGTACCAAAAACTTTGAATCGATTGGAACTAATAGGTATCAGTGGTTTCATTATAATGCACAATTTACTATTTACCCCACCGAAAACGCAAAGCCGAAATCAATGGGGTGGTGTTATGAATGTGCTTTTGAGCTATATGCTGACAAAAGTCTGTCTATAAGCTCATAAATGTAAATGTAAAGAAACTACTGATACTGACACCTATTTACTTCCAATCGGTTCTGGCTTTTTTTTAGACCAACTCGTTTAAAAATGTTTGACCCCAATATAACCTTAAACAACAGTGCGTGAATCGGATTCTAGATGTCAACTACATTATGTGTAGTTTTTCTATACGTTGTGCATGATCCTATTGCTTAGTACCCGTGGTATTTCACGGGAAATATTTTCGTCTATGGTACTACCACCATGGAAGTAAATATTTTTCTGTGGACTAAAAAGTAGGACCACGGACAGCGCATAAGTTTGTTGAGTGTGTATGAAAACATATCATGTTATGTAGATTTTATTTATAAATTAAAATATAATCTTACTGTATATAACATTTCTCTGTGTACCTGTTTAATAATTCTGAATGTAATCTAAGATTTTGTATATAATTTTAATAAAATAATTCTGTTAATATTGATAAGTCGCTCATATACGAAGTCCTACTCTTCAACTAATGTTTCGATGCGAAGAAAAATGATATTTTATTATTAATAATTATTATAAAAAAATGTATCTAATATTCGTGAATGTCTTAGAATTATTTTTATTTCGCCATTTCTTAGTCAATTCAAATAATTAAAACTTAGCCGATTTCATTGACCGGATATAGCAATATCAATTCTTTATTTATATTGTATTATAGCTTGCTCATATTATAATATACAAAAATATAAATATATCATATTTACTTCTTTAAATAAGCAAAAATATTTAACCTATGTATATTTGTGTTACATAGTTTATATTGATTGTCAATTAAATATACTATATAAATACTATGTGTACTATAGCTTAAATAACGGTATCAACGAGTAGTATGACCGGCCTAATATTTACGAACGAAGTTTCTCGAAAACTATCTGTAATTTTAACTTAGACTAGCTAGCTTTTATTCTAGTTATGGGCCCGTATTACGAAACGACACCCAAATATTTAGATTACACTCAAAATTTGATTCAAACTTGAGGACTACTATTCAAACGTTTCGAATGTATCCAATAGTATACATCTCTCTCACGCAAAGCAAGATTCAAGCATGTGTGATAGGGACAGATAGATCCGAAACTACGTAAACAGTGTAATTAAGCCTTGCTGTGATTGGTTTCAAACTGAGTGAAATTGTACTTATGATAGATCTAAAACCGAGTGAGATTGCTGTATAATTGGATTTTGAGTAGCTTTGAAAACAATAATTATTTAGTTGAGTGTTGTCATACAAAAGTGTTTTGACAGCTCATAAAAGATATACATTGACTAGTTTTACAGCGTCAAATATAGTTCGTGACAATCAAAGTAGCCAAAAAATTTGCAACACGTCTTTGTTACAATTGGAATATGGTTGTTTTTATTCAACCAATCTCAGGTTTGAATCAATGCTTGAGTGTAACTCTATTTCTGAGCGTCATTTTGTAATACGGGCCCTAATGTTTTGTAATCTCCGGAGGGTGTTATAGCGTATATCGTTAACGCGGTGGGTATCACCGTATTTTCGTGGGTGAAGCTTAGTTTAAATAATATCATTGTTGTTTAATTGCTTGTCAATTATCTGTACATATCATTGATTTTACGGCTTTACATGGGAACGGTGCATGTCTGTAGTCAATGAGAATTTCGATGAGAAGTCGCATGTATTCACGAGTAATATCGTATCGATTGATATTTTCAACAGGCCTTGTCTTTGATTTACTTGATCAGATCCTAAGCTTACCAACCAACTAAAAGTCGGTGGTCTTCTGCTCCTAGGCTACAAATAATAAGTTATACAGTGCATTTTACGGAAATCTCGAAATTATTACTACATAGTATTGTAACTGAAAATATTTTTTATGCTATGCGTTGCGCAATGAAAAATTAAACATGATATTGAAAATGGTGAATCATTTTTAATATTAATTTGCAGACACACATAATCATTTGGTTATTATTAAACAATCAGGTATTAGCAGCTGATTACGTATTTTCAAAAACCGCCCCGTTTTCGTGTATTGCCAAATTACAGGTTTTTCAGCAATACAAAAGTACTGACGACGCCACGTCAAATTAAACACCTTAGCACCTTTTTGGTTTCAGTAGGTGATGTTTGCAACAATAATGTTTGTATACCTTTACATTTTTATTGCAAAATAACACCTATGCTAACTACATAAAACCAAAAACAGTGTTTAGTTTGATGTGACGTCATCCGTACACACCTACTTCGACAGAAGCAATTAATCTTTGTTTATCTTCAACCCATGAGCCATCATAAGAAATAAGCGTTGGCACTAATTATAAGGTTTATATGATTAACAGCTTTAAATTATTTTAGCGTATCTTGCCACGCTTTACGTTGATTTATAGATAGATAGATAAATGTAAATATTATCACTTTTTAATTTGTCACTTTCTATTATATTTTATCTTTATAGAGTTTTACATATTATTGTGTTATTTTGGTAATGTTTTAAACTTTTTGCAGTGTTTTGTTTTTCTTACATTATGAAAAAAGTGATAAAACACTGTATTTATTTACATTACAACTTTTTTAGAACGGGGTTTATATTTTTTTCGTTACTTGCCTCTCGATTTATAAATTAAAATATTTAATCTGTCTATAAGATATTAAATCAAAATCCAATTTTTAAAACTTTCTAAAACCAAGTTTTCAATAATGTTTCAAACGTAAACTGAAATTTCCAATAAATTGTGTAGATTAATACAGTTTTTAAGATCTAGATTAATATAATTGTAATAAATAATAAATACAATATTGCAGTTGTGATGTGGACTGATATTACTAATTATAAACAAATGCCATCTCAAATTGTAGCGTAAGTTTTCTCAATGTAAATAATATGAATCGTCTTAGAACTGAATTTGGCCCCAAATAAGAATGTTTGTAATTTAATTGTGGAATAAAATATGATTAAATGAAGCTCAAACGTTTTATTTTTCAATGTTCACCTTCAAAAAACCAGCACGAACACTTATTTTTAGAACAGCCACGTATCTAATTGAAACCTGCAGATTTTATCAACACAAGACGTGGTTGTACACACTACAGCACAAACCATGTTGGTTTTAAGACCACCCTTATCCTTTGTTCTGTAAGAGCTACGTTTGCAGTGCAAAACACAAGCAATGCCGTTTGCCGCACATTATCTTCAATTGGTCCAATAAAACCAAAGTCTTTCTATTGGAACTATTTTATTCAGACGGTAAAATAAGTAATAGATAACACTGTCTACGCATCTTAATTAGGTGAGACAGTTGCAGGTGATTTTGTTTTGGTGAGATGATTTTCGTATTAAATGTTATTTTGTTCATAATAAAAACAAAAGAAAGACGCAATTGGCTAATCTGATCTCATCAAACTTTCATGTGGTCAAGTTTAATAATGAGATTACATGACATACCTAATATTAAATCATACTTATCCGTTTAGATTTACAAAATCTTCACGCAAGATTTCATCATTTGTTGTGAAATTGTGTGCGTTGTGAAATCGCAAGTAAAGAAATTTTAAAATAACCTAATTATTATTGAAAATAGATTACGATAATAAATAATTCGTATTCAAATATATAATCAAATAAACAACAAAAACATAATGTAACTAATTGAGTAAAAATTTACTAAATTACGCTATAGGCGTGCTCAGTGTTCCGTATAAAATTTATGTATTTTAGTAACTTATTTTTTCTGTAGAGTTATTATTATCTTTTAATTAATCAATGAAGTATCTAGTTTACGAGTACGATTAACTTTCTATACAGGGTGTTAGGTAATATGAGGGTATATGAGCCGACACTAGCCCATGTTAACATGGTCAT